CAACTTGGGTGTGGGGGAGAGGGGTTGGAGAGTGGAGTAGGAGGGTTGTCAAAGCGGCTTTACTGTGGATGGATAAGCACAATGTAGTAAATATGTACAATGGAATATTATTCAGCCTAAGAAGGAAGGAAATTCCGACACATGCTATAACATAGATGAACCTTAAGGACATCATGCTAAGTGAAATAAGCTAGTCACAAAAAGACAAACACTGTATGATTCCACTTATGTGAGATACTTAGAGAAGTCAACTTCATAGAGACAGGAAGTAGAATGTTGGTTGCCAGGGGCAGGGTAGGGGGGGATGGGAGTTGTCTAATGGGCATAGTGCTTCAGTTCAAGATGAAAGGAGATGGTTGGTGGTGATGGTTGCCCAACATTATGAATGTATTTAAGACCACTGTACCATACACTTGAAAATCGTTAAGATGGTAAGTTTTATGTTATGTGTTTTGGACCATAATTAAAAACCTGAGGAAAGAAAGGGACTTTAGTGGTATCTATAATGTTTTAACTTTTTAAAAAAAGATTTTATTTATTTATTTATTTGAGAGAGAGAGAGCAGGGGGAGGAGCAGAGGGGGAAAGAATCCCAAGTGGACTCCTTGCTGAGCTCAGAACCTGATGCAGGGCTTGCTCTTGGGACCCTGAGATCATGACAGGAATGGAAACCAAGAGTCAGACGCCCAACTGACTGAGCCACCCAGGTGCCCCTATAATGTTTTAACTCTTAAAAAAAACTAAAAAAAATTTTTTTTAAGACTAAAAGGAAAATAGAATAAAACAGTTATGTTACACTTAGTTCATCTGTAAGGTGCTGTTAGAAGCAGAAAAGAGGGGATGACAAACTGAGCCCTGGGGTCGGGGTTGGGGGGCAGAGCCAGGCTCCCCACGGCCACTGTCTGCCACCAGGATACAGGGAACACAGGGACCCTAGGGTCCGTGAGGAGCTGAAGTCCGATTGTTAATAACAGCTACACTGGTGAGGGCTTATTGTGCGCCTTCCTTTGTGTGTATCCAGGACTTTAGATTTGTTATCTCAATTCATTCTCACAGCAGCCTTTTGAGTTAGGTACTATTGTTACTCCCATTTGACAGATAAAATATCTAAAGCTCAGTGAGGGTTTAAAGGATTTGCCAAAGTGACAAAGCAAGTGAGCCCTGGAGCTATGATTTGTATCCAGGCAGGTCTGACCCCAGCGCTCAGACACTTAACCATGCCATTGCAAGGTGTGTTTTCTAGTAAGCAAAGGGAAATGTCCACACGCATATCGTGTTGTTAAGGTGTAATCCAAAGCAAGAGCTATGTTAAGAGTATGCGGAATATTTTGTTCATGAACATAACTGTGTCCTTATAACCAGAAAGATACAGCTTGCAGATGCCTGCCCTCTGAGATTTAAACTAGTAAAAAGAAATCTTTAATGGATGAGAGTAGCTATCAAAGGAATTCACCTCAAGGAACAGATCAAAGTCAGAAGAGACACGTGAATGCCAAACTTCAATCAAGATGTCTAGAGTGAAGTCACATGAAGGCATAATTGATGAGAGCGATTTGGATTTTAAAATGTTTGTATTCTTTGATGTGGTGATTCTACTTTTTGGAGTCTATACTAGGGGCATAATACCAAATACCGGAAGGTTTTATCCATAAATATATTCACCATAAAATGAATTTTAATAGTAAAAATGAAAATCAATCCAACTATCCAACACTAGTGAAATGGTCAGTGAATCGAATCCCCACATGATGGCAATTGTGAGCCTCACAAACACATATGAAGAATTCATTACTATTTAACAATTTCATATGTATAGGGACAAATTGCATGAGTTAATACAGTCAACGTGCCGTGTAGAGACAGGGTTACCCTCCTGCTACAAATATAAAGAGATACTGAATAAGTGTATAATAATGTTAAAAATATTAGTTGAGGAATGAAATAAAGGAGATTAATAAAAGGACATTTTATTACAAAATAATAGGAATATAATGAATAATAGGAAATTCTCAAGTCCCAGAGGGAAATAAGGAACGCAAAGCCAGTGGGGTAAGAAAGATGAAGACACTAGGGCAGTCAGTATGGACCTGGAGCTTGGCCCTTAGGGTCTAAGGCCTGCGGTTTCAATATTCACATGGAGATGGAGATGAGGTGTCAGGTCCATGAAAGGCAGGGACCTTGTCTTGGGTGGATTGATTCCCTCTAAAACAGAGGCTGAAGCAAGGATGAGAGAGCTGGAGCCTTACTTGATGTTATTAGCCAAGGTTCTCCAGAGAAACAGAACCAGTAGGATGTGTATTTATATAGAAAATGATTTATTTTAAGGAATTGGCTCTTGCAATTATGGGGCTGACAAGTCCAAAATTTGCAGGGTGGGCCAACAGGCTGGAGGCCAGGGAAAGCTTGATGCTGCATTTGACATTCGAAGGCTGCTGCAGATTTCTCTCTGGCTTGCAGGAAGTCAGCCTTTTGTTCTATTCAGGCCTTCAGTTGATTGGACGAGGCCCACCCACATATGGAGGACGATGTGCTTTACTCAAAGTCCAACTGATCCAAATGTTCATCTCATCCAAAAAACACCCTCATAGAAACATCCAGAGAAAGGTTTGACCACATATCTGGGCACCATGGCCCAGACAAATGGACACATAAAATTAACCATCCCACTTGGGAGTCAGAAGCAGGGCAGCAAAGATGAGGAAAGGAGAAGTGAAGCAAGAAAGGCGTGAGGAAGTGTGAAATGGTACATTGTCATCCTGGCTGACACTTCACGAGAAGCCTCCAAGATCACAGCAGGTTACTCAGCAAGCATGTCTGGTTGGCATATGGTTCCACTCCAAGCAGGCTGCCGAGAGAAATGGCACTTTGGAGTGGGCCACGGGAGGGAGGAAGAAGGGGAATTTATCTGCAATCTCTCTCCCATCTCTTGTTTTCCATTAGCAGAGACTCAGTCAACAGAAAGTTGACTCCCCAACAGTTCCAGGTTTTGTCCCGTGGCCTTTTCTTTTTTTTTTTTTTTAAAGATTTTATTTATTTATTTGAGACAGAGAATGAGATAGAGCATGAGAGGGTCAGAGGGAGAAGCAGACTCCCTGCTGAGCAGGGAGCCCAATGTGGGACTCGATCCAGGGACTCCAGGATCATGACCTGAGCCGAAGGCAGTCGCTTAACCAACTGAGCCACCCAGGCGCCCCCGTGGCCTTTTCTATAGTGAGAATCCGTAAGGCATTTCATCCAATTCTGGAAGTTGTGGGAGGAGCCAGGAACTCTGTGTTCCTGGATGTTCAGCCTGGTTGCATGGTGGCAGTCAAGGTGAAGGACCAAGTGTTCCCAAAGAGAGTGATGGTCAGCCTCTGGTCATGTCAGCGGAGTCCCAGAGGCTGTCCGTGCTGAGGAAATCTAAGGATGAACATAGATTTGCATCATATATAACCCATCCCTCCTACCACTCCAATCCACTCACTCTCTATTGTATTGACTCCTGTACTGTATGGTAGAGATTTCATTTTTTTTTGTGAGTACAAGATGCCCTACTCCTTGCCCTAGAGGGAAGTCTGTGTCTGAATCAGTCACAGAGTCCCTCAAGGTGGTATCCAATTGCAAAATCCTGGAAGAATTCAGAAACAAGAGTCCTTGCTGTTGTAGCTGGTCCCTGGTCATACCTGATATTCACTATCTCTCTCTTTACACCCATTCTAAATTTCCCTTATTCCTTGACAGCATTTCGGCTGGCCCAAGTTGATTGCCTGGCAGAGTAATCCAGACCTTTGGGCCTTGTATTTTCCCTGCTTTGGTGGGTTGCAGGTGCTGTGATTCCCGTGGTTATTATAGGACATAGAAGTACTAAGAGACGCCCAAATAAATGCCCTGAGTTCTGGAAATTCTCTTTACTATCCTCTTGTGTAGAAGCAACCCTAGTTCCTCATGCTAATCAAGACTGATTACTCAACCAGTGCAATAAATCTTTCCTGGTCCCCTGTGGCCAGATGATATCTACCACTCCTAATTTGGGGGACTCAGTTCTCTACCAAAGGTCATACTCCTGTCACATGACCTCACACAGCTACCTCCTCTGGGTTCCAGTACGTGTTTCATGTCCTTGTCTCTTTATGGTAGGCATATTAATGGCTCCCAAGGATGTCCCCACTCTAATTTCCAGAACCTGTGAATATGTTAGGTTGTATGACAAGGTAAGAATTAAGGTTGCAGATGGAATTAAGATTGCCAATCATCCAACTCTCAAATAAGGAGATTATCCTGAATTATCCAGTTTGGCCCAATGTAATCACAAGGGTCCTTTAAATGTAGAGGAGGGAATCAGAAGAGTCGGAAAAGGAGAAATGGCATCATTAGAAAGACTTGACCAGCTATTGCTGGCTTTGAAGTTGGAAGCGGGCTATGAACCAAAGAGTACAGGCAGCTTCTAGAAAGAGCTACTACAAAACTACAAAACTTCAAAACTATTCTTCCTTAGAGTCTCCAGAAAGAAACATGGCACCAGAGTTTGGTTCAGTGAGACCCATTTTAGACTTCTGACCCCCTAGAACTGTAACAGAATAAATTTGTGCTGTTTTCAGCTACTGGATTTGTGGTCATTTGTTACAGCACTGAGAGGGTGACAATGATTTCCACCATCACAGGCCCCAGGGCACTGCACCATCCTACTTGGTTTCCTAAACCCCGCCATACCTTTGCGAGGAGTTTAATAAGAGGACTAGTCACAATTACCCAGTTTGAGTTGTTACCCATTTCCTGCTGAGCCTCTAAACCGATATAGAGCCCAAAGCATCATTGCAGGATGTAAGTGTCCTCAGCCAAGGGAAGGGAAAACAGACTTGTCTAAAGAATCCAAGGGGCAGTGAATGAAAGTTCTTGCTGAGGTGTCCTAAAGTACCAGGGACGAGCACAGCCCTCAGGTGGCTAATGAATCCAAGTGCAGCCTCACTCACCTCTCTCCTCCAACTCTCCCCATCTTCTTTCTTGCTGTCCCAAGAACGGAATCTGGACTAGAAATGGGAGTTCTGGTTTATGCCATCAAGTGTCTTTGGGAAGAGCAGCTAATTCCTCTGGGTTATGATTGCAGATAATACCACTTGGAGCCTAAGAAAGAATCAGTGGGTTATGGTGAACAGCTAGGTGTCTTTGCCACAAAATCTCATGCCAAACTCTTTCATCTCTCCACTCAAACTCCCATGAAGAGCCAAGAGAGCCCTCCCTCTCTATCTCATCTAATCTCCTCCCACACCCCTCACTCCCCAAGCCCCAAACTCAGGGGCCTTCCTTCAATTCCCAAATCCCACCAAGCTCTTAACTTTGCTCTTCCTTCTGCCTTGTCATTTAGACCTCAGTGCCCACATCACCTCCTCAGAGACCTCTCCTTGACCATCCTATGTCATGTTGTCCCCACCTCCTGACACTTCTATGACATTGCCCTGTTGAGAAATCATGGCCGAGGGTTTCCAGAATTAAAGGGATACACCCAATATCAAGCAACGTAATTAAAGACAATCCTCACCTTGGCTGGAGACATCAGAGTTTTATCACAGAACAGCAGATAAAAGGAACAACTTGACAGCACTTCAGAAGTATTACTTCAGCAAAAAAGAAAATGAACCAGAAAGGAAGAATGGGCTAGGAGAAGCAGTAATGGGCCAAGAGTGATAAAACATGTTGGCAAATCTAATCCTTGATGAATGGTAAATCATAACTATTGAGAGGTTAAAAGCATCGAGGAATTAAAATACTAGACAACTACAATATGGAAGGTAGGAGAAAAATAGCAGAGGGAAAATAAGGCATTCTACGTCTTTAGAGGAGGAGAAAGATGACCATATTAATGAACTTTTTACTTTTATAGAAAAATATAGTTAGATATACATATTAAACAACAATTTCACCTAGCCAAAAAATGGATGTGCAAATACAATGTCCTCCTTCTAACCAATGAAAGAACCTAGGAAACCTCATCAATCCAACAAAAGGCAAGAAAGGAGAAAAGAAATGGGGAAGAAAACTTTGGTAAAGAAGAAATATGTCCACATACTACAGGAATGGCAAAAAAAAAAAAAAATTCTACAAACTAAACTCACTTTTTAAAAAATTGGGTGTCTCAGATGGGCTTTTTTTTTATCCACTTAAATGCTGTTTGAAAAGACACACCTCATTTCTACCTTTGGCTTCCCCCGTGATGGCTGTGGCAATGGCCCCTGTGGAAATTACATGGTGGGCGGCCCCTGCAGCCACAGGTTAATGGTGATAAGCCCACTATTAGTGGAGGTCAGGACAGGAAATGAGACTGACCCACGACGTGGGTGAATCTGTTCAGATAGCGCTTTCTTTTCTGACCAGAGATTATAGTAACTTAGAAGGTGTTGCTGAGGAGAGACAATTGATAATAGTCTGTAAGGGAAGTGGCCAGCACTGGTGAAAATCCAGCTCCTGCAGCGTGGGAGACAATTTAGCAGGCCGCCAGGATGTGAGCTTTGTCTGGGTACGACCTCCTTTTGTGTTTTAGGAATAAATTAGGGAGGGATGCCTGGGTGGCTCAGTTGGTTAAGCGTCTGCCTTTGACCCAGGTCATGGTCCCAGGGTCCTGGGATCGAGCCCCATGTCAGGCTCCCTGCTCAGCGGGGAGCCTGCTTCTCCCTCTCCCTCTGCCTGCTGCTCCCCCTGCTTGTGCTCTCTCTGGCTTTCAAATAAATAAATAAAATCTTAAAAAAAAAAAAAAAGAATAGCTTAGGGAGTTATTTATTCTCTGCAGGCCTGTTTCTTTACCCATAGAATAAGAAGAGCAATGCCATCTCTCTGAGGTTGGGGGCCGGCTAAATTAGATTCCAGAGCACGGACACAGTGAGCCATTGGCACAGAGCAGTTCTTCCCGGTAAGGACGCCGGAGAGTGGCGATCACACAATACCGCCCCTCCCCACAGCCGTACCATCCCAACCCCGGGCTGGATCTCAGTTCCCATTTTTACTCCCAGGGAAGCTACTCTGCACAAACCAAAATTACAAGAAACTGATGTGCAAACTCAAACAGAATTTGTTTTAAGTTCGTGTAAGTGCCAAGTAGCTAGTTTCTCCCTAGACTCAAAAATCAATTTTCCTTGAGGGGCCTGGCTGGCTCAGTCAGTAGAGCGTGTGACTCTTGATCTCGGGGTTGTGGGTTCAAGCCCCAGGTTGCATGTAGAAATTACTTAAAAATAAAATCTTTTAAAAAAAGAAAGAAAAAAATTGTCCTTTCTCTCACCCCTTTCTTCTCCTGGGAGATCGGGTCCCTGATGTGGCAGGACCACTGAATTCATAGATTCCTGGAAGGTCCTCAGTAGGGATTAGGGTGTGTCCTCTGGACCTTTGCTTTTGGTGCCTTCTCTTCTCATCCGCCGAAGTCTCCCGGTGTTAGGATTCACTTCTCCTATGACAGGAAAATAGACACCATCTGCCCCAACTAGAGTGCAACTCTTCCCCTCGACTTGTCCCCATTTCTCATGCTGATCACTGCAGATAGAGCTCCTTATTCTTGTGCTTTGGGGAGGGGAGGGAGCAGTTAGGAGCATCCAGTTGTGAGCCTAATCCCTCCTGGGATTCAGTTCTGTCTGCATGCTGGGCCCCCCAGGGCCTTCTTTTGTAAGAGATTCAATGGTAAGGGCATAAGAAAGCACCAGGTGCTTTGAGAGATTAGAAGCAGAGAACAGCAGCTCTGTCTGGAAAATGTATCCTCAGGCCCCAAGTCACCACAAAGAGAATGATGGCGCTGTTATCACTATGTCCTCTGAGAGACACAAACTTTACTAGGTATTGGTACCCAGTGACCAAGGGCCACACTCAAAACCTTAGAGGGATCGCCCCAATGTGGAATACAAGTCTGTGGGGGACGGGTCCATGGGCCACAGCTTACACTGACAGCTCTGAGCACATGCTCAGGATGATGTCAAGAGGTAAGGTGCCCAGCCTCCAAGTTAGCCCCAGTGGTCCCTGCCTCCTGGTATTCACACCCCTGTCTCCTCCCCCATGTACCATGGTTGATCCATGTGACCCATAGCATATGGCAGGAGCATGGCATGTCACTTCTGAGGCTAGGTAATAAGAGATATCATGGCTTCTTTCCTGCTCCCTCAGATCACTCACTCAGGGAAAAGCAGGTGGCTGTATTTTGAACAGCCCTATGGAGAAGACAACTTGGTGAGAAATGGAGGTCTCCAGATAACAACCTGAGAAAAACTGAGGCTGAGCCAGGTAAGTGAGCCCTCCCAGAAGTGGAGCCCCCAGCCCCAGTCAAACCTTCAGATGATTGCAGTCCTGGCCAACATCTTGATTGCAACCTCACGGGAGATCCTGAGCCAGAAGCCCCCAAATAAGCCAGTCCTAGATTCCTGACTCTCAGAAGCTGTTTGAGAAAAGAAATGTTTTAAGCCACCATAACAACAGATAATAAAATAACATTCTCTAGCACAATTACAAACAAATGGAGTTGAATGTCGTAAACCTGACTATGTAAATATGGCCGAAACTCTAAATGCATATGATGGAAAGTAAAAGTTTAATGATACTATAATATATTCAATATCATGGTGGGGGAAATTGTCTTATCCAAGACATATATTGGGAGAGTTTATAAGATTTCTTTGGAGAATGCTGATACTTTCTCACTCCCCCATCTCCAGGGAGGAGAGGACAGGAAGCTGCTTACCGACATAAACCACAAATATTGAGAGGGGGCTTCCACGGCACCTGTCGAGCTTGGTGTGTGTTCTCTGCAGTTGGTGGGGAGGTGGGTCTTTCATGCTTGCTTAACTCGGGCCTGAGGAGTGGGACAGGACAGGGAGCCTACATTTCCAGGGTTTGTTGGAGAGTTGAGGATTTTCCATGGAACAAGTGTTTGCCACTCAGCAGAGGGAAAGCCGGACTGGAGCCATTTTATGCCTCTGCCCCCAAGAGGACCACGTGGCCTGAGGCTCTGATTGTCGGCATGTTGTGGGCCCCCGGAACAGGGCTGAGCTGAGGCGGGGTAGCAGCTAGGGGAACAGAGGCCAGAGGAGGAAAGGGAAGAAGTCTCACCTTTGGATAAAGGGTGAAATGCTGATTATTATCTTGGTTGGACTCCTGGTTAAGATTTTTTCTTATGAGAGTTTCTGAGCACATGGGAAATTGTCTACCATCTAGATTTAATGATTCTTAATGTTTGTATATTTGCTCCAGCTTTTTTTTTTCCTAAGGTGTTTTGGAGTATATTGCAGACATCTGGCATTTCACACTTCTGGGGATTCCACACTGTCTTTTTAGAGAGCAGGAACATTTTCTTGTATGCTCCAGCAACACTGTCACATATAGTGGGATTAATGGTGGTTTTTTTGGAGTCCTCTGATGCCCAATACATATATGGTTTCCTTAACTGTCTCCAAGATGTCTTTTTTTTTTTTTTTAATACAGTTGATTTGTTCATGTCGAGGAAGATAAACTGGAAACTTTTAATTTTTAAGTTGAGGCTGTTATTTGTAACTTAAAGTGACACAGGACTATTCCCAAAGAATGAGTAGAACTCCATTCAAGAGTGTGCTGAATAATTCTGAAAGAAAGGACAGAAAACAAGGGGGAAATGTGTATTTTCATAATTTACCCCCTCCCAAAAAAGAGGGATTTCTATTTTGTGAAGGTGACAGACACCGCTAGAGAGATGCTCTAAGAAGTTTATTCACATCTTTGTAACCCAGATTGTTTCAACACTGCACAGAAACCTTATCCATTGCTGAGACACGTGCATACTTGTACCAACTCGATGTAGGGGCATGTGGTAGTGTCTATCAAAATTTTAAAAGCATACACTCTTTGATCTAGCAATCTCCTCCCCAGAAATTTATTCTGTACATATCCTTGCCATGTGAAATGACTAAGTAAAAGGATATGCCTTGCAGCATTGCTTGGAATAGCAGAAGATGGGAAACATACAAGTCCATCAGTGTGGGGCGCCTGGGTGGCTCAGTTGGTTAAGTGTCTGACTTTTGATTTCGGCTCAGGTCATGATCTCGGGGTCTTGAGATCAAGCCCCACGGAGAGGGGTTCCGTGCTCCGTGGGGAGTCTGCTTCTCTCCCTCTCCTTCTACTCCTCGCCCCAACTCATGCGTACACACTCTCTCTCTCTCAAATAAGTAAATAAGTATTTTTTAAAATAAAAAATAAAATTAAAATAAAAAGTTCATCCATTTTATACATATATGAGCATATACATGTAGTTTGCATTCATCTATATGATATACATGTATAATATATTATGTATGCTATTTATGTGATATATTATTCCACAACAAGAATCCTACCGCGTAACTGTAGGCCAGCAGGAGACTGAGGCTAGAGGTAGAGGTGGACTGTTCAGTGGAAAACAGTGAAACGTGGATCCAGGTGCTGAGTGCGCTCGTGGGGGTCATGCTGCTGCTTGCCCTCCTCCCTCACCCACCTCTCCTGCCCGGGGGTCACCTCTGTAAATGACATCAACAGACTGTCTTGTCCTGTGGCTCTGGCTGGGTTCTCAGTATTGCAGCAAGAGGACAGAGGGAGGGAGGGAGGAGAGGCGGAGTGGGTATTTGTGTCCCCGGCCTCCTCCGTGGGACGCTCCGATGACTGTGTGGCTCTCGGGAGTCACTGTGCCATCTCCCCGCACTGTGGCTGGCCCCGGGCATCGCACTCTCCCTTGTGCTTCTCCTGTGTCCTGTCCACACTTCTGTAAACTGTCCGTTCATTGTTCTCCACTCAAATGACTCACTTTACGGGGGCCCTCTGTTTTCTGTCAGGGCTCTGACTGATAGGGATGTGAGCACTTAGGTAAAAAAAAAAAAAGAAAAAAGAAAAAGAAGTGTTTGTGTTGAGGAGGGGGACACATGCACTTGCGCGTGCTTAGCGTCTCTAGAAAGCTGCACAAGAGACTGCTAGCAGTGGTTGCTTCTAGGAAAGAAACGGTGGCTGGGGGTGGAGAGCAGGACGAAGGAATATTCAGTTTTCCTGTAAACTTTTTTTCGTTCCTTTTGAATATTGTACTCTATGCAGGTATTACTTATTCAAAAGATAATTTAATTGAATTTTTTTGGAAACAATACGAAGGAAAGACTGCAGAGGGACTTGGTACCAGAAGGCTTCAGAGACAGCTGTCCCCACAGCACGTGGATCCCTCCTTCCCCGGGCGCGACTGTCTTTCCTGGCAGGTACTCCAAGCCACCAACGGAACAAAGAAAAGAAGAAACAAAGGAATAATGAACAGGCTTCTTCCACTGTACACTACAGACGAGAGGTGCAGTATTTTGAAAAAAAAAAATCTGGCATGTTAGTTAACTCTTAGACCATTTGCTGCTACTCACAGCCTGGTGCGGGGTTCGAGCTAATAGCAGCAACCTCTCTCCGGCCATCAGCGTCTGTGGGGCCCCACATTGTCCCTCCCCGACAGTGACCAGGCCAGAGTTTGCTCGGGCTTTTTACCTAGGCCCACTTTTTTTTTTTCATTATGTTATGTTAGTCACCATACATTACATCATTAGTTTTTGATGTAGTGTTCCATGATTCATTGTTTGCGTATAACATCCAGTGCTCCATTCAGTACGTGCCCTCTTTAATACCCATCACTAGGCTAACCCATCCCTCCACCCCCCCTTCCCCTCTAGAACCCTCAGTTTGTTTCACAGAGTCCATAGTCTCTCATGGTTCGTCTCCCCCTCCGATTTCCCCCCCTTCATTTTCCCCTTCTTTCTCCTAATGTCCTCCATGCTATTCCTTATGTTCCACAAATAAGTGAAACCATATGATAATTGGCTTTATGTGCTTGACATAGGCAGTAATTTCTTCGACATCGGCCGTAGGCCCACTTTTTAATCCCTCCCTGACATCCTTGCCACTACGGAGCTCGAATTCGCCTGTGCCTGGTCTTGTCTCAGCAACACAGCAGAGCCTGGCTGGGGGACCAGACAGGAGGGCCCTGCCTTCCTCCTCCTGCTCCTCAACCATGGCCGGCCCATTACTTACCAGTATCTCTATTTTTATCGTGCTCATTATACTGCAGTGCTCTTCATTTCCATCGCATTATTGTTGGCGGGGTCATCTGGAGGCTTGGTTGCCCAGGAGACGGGGGTGGGGTGGGGGGGGGCGGCGCACACTCAGCTGCTTCCGAAGGCGTGGCTCATCCATCATCTGACAAGACACTGTCTGTCGGGTCTCAGCTGGTTGCAGGGTGACCACCAGAGCCCATGGCTTGTTCCGGCTCTTCCTCCTTCCAGAAGCGTGATCCTTCCTTTCTTAAACAGAGAGAGAGAGACATATCTAGATTTTATGGACAGATACCTGACAGAGAAAATAGAACAGCCGTACAAATCCCCTGTGTGAATCTGTCGGGGGAGAAAGATGTCTCGGGGTAACTGGCTGCTGTATTAGAAGCACGTGGGAAAGAAACCCTCCTACCCTCAAGGACACAGGTCCCTGGCTGCTTCCCCCAGCGAATGGGGCATGGGGGCTGTGGCTAGAAAAGAAGTCGAAGCAGCACGTTTGCATAATGGCCCCTGGTACTTTTGCCCCGGACTCAACTGCAATGACATGAAACAGGTTAGGGTCTTGAGGAGGTGGCCACAGGGAAAAGGGGAGCAAGACACTGTTGTGGTGAGAAACTGATGCCCTTTGCCTCTGGCCCCGACCCTGAGGGTTCTGCCTCCCTCCCTCCCTCCACACATTCTGCACTCCAGTGGCAGGAATGGAGGTCCCTGAGCCCCTCCTGTGATTTCTCTCTGCTGGAGCTGCTCCTACTCACCCTGTGAAATCAGATCTCACATGTTACCTCTTTACTGAACACTTCGGGGACACCTTCCCTATATCCCTCTGGCAAAGTGAGATGTGCTTTCCTCTGAAGTCCTATAGCACTTCGTTCCCGGATTGTTATGGTGGGCTGTCCGCCATCTGACTCTCCCACTGCTCTTGTATCTCCAGACTTTGCTGGGGGCCTGACACACAGCACATAGCTTAGTTGAATATACTGGACCCGCAGTGATAAATAGAGGTGAGTATGTACAGCATCTCACGACTGATGGTTTGCTTTGTGCCAGGCACCTGTGCCGAGAACTTCACAGGCACTATTCCCCTCAATCCTCACCACAGCCCAAGAGGCAGCTGGTGTACCATTACTCCCCATCCTACAGAGGAGGAGACTGGAAGTGGGGCAGTAACTTACTCAAGGTCACGTGCGTATGCCTTTCTATAGATTTGCTTTCACCACACACGTGGTAGCAAACTCTGCATGCTGTTCTACACCTTGCTTTTTTCCCCCTTTAACTTATTTCTTGGAGATTGTTCCATTATCAGTAGTTACAGACCGATGCCCATTCTTCTTCACACATCCAGAATATCCCATAAATGGATATACTCTACCTTATTTACTCATCCCCTGTTGGTGGGCATTTAGGTGGTTTCCTGTCTTTTGCTATTGTATGTGGGGCTATAAAATGTACACCTGCCCACAAATCTCAGCATAAGTTATATTACATTCCATGCCAATCCTTGATACTTCTGGAATTTTGGCATAACAAATGAGGTAGGGATTCAGTAAAGATGTCGACCACTACTCTCCAATGGCCGAATATCTCACCCGGCACATAGGAAGTGCTTGTAAATGTTACCAGTGACGGTGGTGATGGTGACAACCAACTGCATCCACTGTAGCACGCATTTAGTTCCCAGCATGAGGGTTGGCTACCTGGAAGTCTTTTAACCCTCAGTGTCTAAGTCCTAAAAGTCACTTACGCATCAGAATGAATGAGTTTACAAAACTTCCCAAGAGCACGGTTTGGCCTGGGGAGGGGAGAAAGACATCCCATGATTATGGTGATGGGCTGCACAAAACGGTGATGACCCAGGATGGAGGAGCTTCCGAAGACACACTCTGGGTGATGTGTGCGAGCCATTCCCTGGGGGCTGGTTTGGATGAACTGCTGTTGGTGGATGCAGGCTAATTGGGTTGGCCTAGGGCTGGCGGGAATGGAAGCACGTTCTCGTGTTCAGCGAGGTAATGTCTGAGAAGGTAAGGCCAGCAGGGGTCAGACTAGAGCTCTGAATGCAGAACTGCCCTTAATGTGACAGCATGAACGGCCTATGGTAGGCAGTTGGAAGCTTGCGCCTGTGCCTGGTGGGTGGAAGATAGGGGGTCTCACAAGAGAGAAAGGTGAGCTGGGAACCTCATCAACTTGAAGATGTCTGAGCAAGATGCTCTCTTATCCAGACGGGTTGAAGGGCAAACCCTACCAGCTGGGGCTCCCTGGGAGATGAGGATGAATAGCTCTGGGGTGGGATTGCCACTCCCTAGATAGTCAGTGTACATGACAGACGAGGGGCAGAGGCTGCTCCCCAGACAGGAACAAGCAGACGCTCTGCTGGGCAGGGCTTTGGGGGGGTCTGCAGGGAATAAATGAACAGTAAGAGCTCTGTATGAGGACTTGGGACTAAGACATCATAGTAACAGCTAATATCGACCATAAACCAGTCCCAGGCGTTAACTCATGTGATTCTCCTAACAGCTCTGCAAATTTACCCCCATTTTATACATGAGAAAACAGTTACGGAAAGGTTGACCCTCCAGAATTGAAGTCATGTAACTTGCATCTATTATCAAAATTTGGTCATCTGATGAGCCCTAGGGGACGCTCTTACAGATCACCTGCTGTCCCCTAAGCTGTGGCCTTCACGAGGATCGCCCCCAGCAGGATGATCAGGCCAAAGGTCATGTCTGGGACTTCCCTAAAACCCTCCAGGACCAGGCAGATCTCAGTACCACTCTGTTCCTCCCCATCCTCCAGGGTGAGGGCTGCCTAGAGATAGAAGCTGCTTCTCTGAATAACCCAACCATGGAATAGTGGGAGTAAGACCACTGGCCTGAGAGTCAGGAAGCCCAGGGCTGCGGGACTGATGGAATGGAGAGAGAGCCGGGGAGGAAGGAAGGAGAGATGGGCAAGCCTCCTGACCCAGCTCTGCAAAGTAAACAGCCATGGCTTGAACACCAAGGTCACTGGATCTGCCTGTGACAGGCAGGCTCCAGCTGGAGTCGGGCAAACATTGGAGACTGAGGGTGGGGTGGGGGTGGGGGGCTCATTCCACAAACAAACCTCACCCACTGGATAAGCCAGGATGTTCCAACCCGGGAACCAGGATTTGGTTCACCTCAACTTGTCAGCAAGTCCTTTGCCTCCGCCATCCTGGGAGGGGTGGCGTGATTTCTGCAAAGTGCTGCTCTAGGTGTGGGTCATCTCCTCAGAACGTGCTACTTTGCCCTCCCCCGCCCCACTCGCCACTCCAAGGCTAGACAGATGTGCCCGGCTCGGGCTTTGTCATGTCTGCTGGCCTGGTCAGGACAAGCAAAACATGCAATCAGAAAAAGAATGAAGCCAGGGCGCCTGGGTGGCTCAGTTGTTAAGCATCCATCCTGGGATCGAGCCCCGCCTCGGACTCCCTACTCAGCAGGAAGCCTGCTTCTCCCTCTCCCACTCCCCCTGCTTGTGTTCCCTCTCTCGCTGTGTCTCTCTTTCTGTCAAATAAATAAAATCTTAAAAAAAAAAAAAAAGAATGAAGCTGACTGTCTTTGGCAGCCCGAGACCTCAATCCTGTCAGTCCCCCCGGCCCACCCAACATGCCCATCCCTCCCTCACTGCTCACCGAGGGGAAGGCAGTCAAAAATCAAGCCATCCCCCTTTCATCAGCTGAGCCCGTGACAATAATAATGTCCCTGGACCTCTGTCCTTGCTCTGGTCTGTGAGGTGCTTTGGAGCTGTGCTTCCAACCCCCATAGGTTGTCATGGTGGCTCAGACTCCTCACTGGACAGAGCAGCTGACTGTCTCCATGGCAATAAAAAGAATCTGGGGAGGAAAGACACTGGCCTTGGAAATGAACTCTCAGGAGCCCTCCTGGGAAATTAGCTCTTCCTGGGAGGTCAGGAGAGATGCCCCTCCTGGAGACAGTGTTCCTTAGCCATTTCAGCAGCCTTGGGAAGCCCAGCTTTCTAACAGTGGGGCCACCATTTCTGTGTACCCTCCAGCCATGGAGGATGCCGACTCCAGAGACAGGGATCAGGAGAGGAGAACGTGGTTGAGATGGGGACCCCCTGACCTGGTCGTGCTGCGGGGCCAGCGCCCCTGCCCACCCTGCTCCTCCTCGAAGTATCTCTCCTGTCTGAGAGGACCCTGGGCCCACTCCTGCCTGCTAAGCTATGAGCTGATACAGATGAAAACGGTGCCTCCCCTGCCCCGAGATCCTCGTGCAGGATCACACCACCTTCCATAATGACCCAACACGTCTCTACTGGGCCACTACAGTCCTGGGGAGACATTTCTGCCTCGCGTGTGTGTCTTTCTCTCCTGCTTTTCACAACACGCGTCTCAGCTTCCACATAGTTCAAGCTCACTGGACAGCAGGGAGGGCCCTAGGGTTCTTTGAAACTCCTAGTCCCTTTCTCAACCAGCACCCGCACGCCTGGCATCAGGCAGGGCTGGGTTAGGAGAGATGGCCTTGGCTACTTCTGCCTCCCAGGCAGGAACCACTTCCCCACCTCCCTCAGGAACCCAGTGACTCCTTCCCTCCCCCCATCAATACTTGCTTTCACTCAGGGATCAGAAACCCATTCACACTTGAATGTGAGTAATGACAGATGAAAGTATATTCTCTCAGGGAGATCAGAAGTTGAATTGTAAGGAATGAGCTCCTAAGTGGAATTTCAGGCACCAATTCAAAGGACAAGTGCCACAAAAGTAGAGTTTGGACTTGACTCTTAGAAAGGAAAAGAGAGAAGCCATGTGGATCTTCTTTCCTCCCAAGCATTTCTTTGCACTTGCTGACCCCTGGGACAATAAAGGGTTTGTTTTGTTTTAACTTCTATTTCTAAAGCCAAGGAATGTGATTTCTCATAAAATTCTGCTATCCCAAAGCGAGGTGTGCTGTCACCACAGGGGACTTTACCGTCCCCGCCCAATGTCACTGCTTCCTTGCCAGCAGCCCGAGCAGACTGCCAGGGGCGACAGCACCCCGCCGGGCCTCCTCCTCCCCTTCTCCGCTTAGGGATCCTGGGTTTCTCCTGGGACTTCTCACTTCCCAAAAACACATCAAAAAGGCCCTCATCTGGTACACCTTGGTTCAACACTAAGTAAGGATCGCTTCGCCACTTTTCTACTATGTGACTGTCTTCACTTCCCAAGACCGGAAAATCCTTTGTGATGTGATCACGGCGCACAGAAGTGAGGGGATGGGGAGGGAGATGCAGGGCAGTCTCTGCTGTGGGCCGTGGAAATTGACTCCACTCAGACTCACTGAGGAAGTAGGATGCCCTCCTGTCCCTCCTCCCACGGGGTTCCCTACAGGCCCCGCAGCAGCCCCCGCCCCGGGGCAGTCACCCCGCACTCGCACTCGGGACTCCCTGGGCACACGCCTGGGCAGAAAACGGATGATTTGTGGTGTGTCGGAGGCGAGTCTGAGCTCCCCAGGAACTGTCCACCTACATTATGGCTGACATCTGAGGTGGGCTGAAGGGACACGGCCACACGCTGGCATGTTACTGAATTTTTCTAGAATCTCAGGTTCTCCACAGGTAAAATGGGGCTAGGAACTGCCCTGCCTCACAGAGCTGTTACTATCTTTGGTAAGGAAAAATCCGTGTCCTAAGATGGCCCGGGAAGCCATCAAGGGAGTCCCAGCCCCTGCCTCGGGGCTCTTCCGGGTTCTTCTCCCTCCCCCGCTTTGCGCACGCGCCAAGAGTGCCCAGTATGCGGAAGTAGATGTGTATGAATTGCCCCCTTTGTGCTGGGGGCTCAGACCTTTGGAGATCACTCTTCTCTGAGCCTGTCAGCGTTAAATCAACCTCCTATCCTCCAAGATCTCCCGGTGCTGCTTTGTTCTTCCGTCCGGCGATCCAGTCCAGGTTCCTAACATTTGGGCGATCCAGTCCAGATTCCGTAACATTTGGTTCCCTGCCTGGGAAACCCAACTGCTCTGGCCCATTGTTGCCGCCGGTTTGGGGCATCGGTGGGGCGGTGACGACGGAAAGAGGAATCGTAACGGAGAAGGCGCGTCCTGCCTAATTTTCGGCAGTCTCCCGCCCCGGTCGCCTCAGGCCGGCCCCACTCCACTGTTCCCGCCGGACTCCAGGAGGCTTGGCAGGTGAGGTCCAGGTTCCATAACATCTTTATTTATTTATTTATTTTTTAATTTTTGAGCTGTTACTATCTTTAAAAGAGAGAATTCCTGAGAAGCACTTAGCATCGTGCTTGAGCAGGAATAAAGGCTCAGTCAGCGGCAGCTGCTACTCTTCCTGTGACTGGGGACAGTGAGGGTGGCTTCTGTTGCACTAAGGCCCCGGGGCTCTGTGCCTCACCCCACCCCCTCTCTTTGACAGGACCCTGATCCGATGGCACTGGAAGTCACCTGGGAGATGAATCCCAAGGAAGCAGCCTGAGTTCTGGGCCTAGAAAACTCTGCCAAGAGTTTTCCCTTCCTTTAGGAAAGACAAACCTTTCTGGAGTCCATGAGGCAGAGAAGGCTGCAGCTCCAGAGTAGCCCTGGGGGCAAATCTTGCTTTTTCTAGAAGGAACCATTTCCTTGTATGGTTTGCCTCTGCCATTTCCAGGAACTTGGGGTCTAAGAAGGGGTTCCCAGAAGCAGGAAGGTCTAGACACACCAGACTGAGCCTCCAGAAGAGGACTTCCTTCATTCACCATTCATTCAGTTATTCAGCAAACCTTCGTTGAGAAGTTTCTGGATGCCGAGCTTCCTGCTAGAGGCTGGGGCTTCCGAGATGCAAGACCATCTCTGGGCTGAAGGAGGAAACAGAACACTCTGACGACAATGCACACGCCCTGCGGCAAGTGCCATGGGAGCGGCTGCCCTGGAGGCCAGGTTCTGGCAAAGGCAGGTGGTGCAAAGACCTTAAACAAGAGAGGGCGCAGCCTGCGGGGGGGACGGGGAGCCCTTCAACCAGGAAGAGTAAAGCTCCCAGGGCAAGTGGTGGTTTAAAGAACAGAGGGACAAAGGAGACAGAGGTCAGGATCCAAGGAGTTGTACCCCACACAAAGGAATTTGGCCCTCATCCTGAAGCTGATGGAAAGCCATCTCTACCAAAGGACCTACTCTCTGACCCTGAGTCCATCCCATCACTGTAAAAGCTACAGCTTCTGCATCAAAGGTGGTATCCCCATCCATCCTGGAAGTAAAGGGAGAATCGAAAGCAACCAATAAACCTCTCTGTCAGTAAAGTTGGAACCGCTGTTTAAAAGGCCACCAGCCATGGGTTTCTTTCTTCCCCTGTTTTGATTTACTGAAAAATGGTCCACACGGTATCTTGAGTCACCTTTATCATTTCACTGAGAAAGTTCCGTAGCATTGCCCTGGAGTTCCAGGTACAATAAATACTGGGTGGACAGGTGGATAAAAGGAAGGACAAATGATAAATGCAGTTAGCACCAAAATTGGTAAATATACATACCTGCCTGTATGTGCACAGACTATCTGGGATCAGTGATGGCCTGGGAGGAAGGGAAGCAGATTCCAGGGTTCAAGGGTAGAAAAAGAGACTTACCTTTCACTATTCACCCTTTTGAAGTACCTCGATTTTTTACCATGTTCATTTAAAATACTTGAAAAAATAAATGTACAGACTGCCAAAACCTTCCAGCCAAAGGCTACCAGGAACACACTGCAGTCAAACAAAATTGGGTTTACTGACTCTTAGCAAATGAGGCAGAACATACCCCATGGGCAAGTATGGAGAGTTTCAGGAACAGAATATTAGAAAGGACTTACCATATTGGGCTTGTGTCAGGTGATGTTGAAGAGGATTCACAGAGGCAAGGCTTTGCTCTGGATTGGATACTGGTGTAATCCTACGATTGGGATATTTTTTTTTTAAGATTTTATTTATTTATTTGACAGAGAGAGGGAACACAAGCAGGGGGAGTGGGAGAGGGAGAAGCAGGCTTCCTGCCGAGCAGGGAGCCCGATGTGGGACTCGATTCCAGGACCCTGGGATCATGACCTGCGCCGAAGGCAGACGCTTAACCGACTAAGCCACCCAGGTGCTCCCTATGATTGGGATCTTAATCATAAGTATGTAGAAGGAGAGAAGAAAAGAGCAAAGTTACGGGGGCTATTGACAAATTAGCCCCTGGCACTCGTTATTCCGGATGGAGGATGGATATTCAGATTTTTGTGGTTTGGACAATAATTTGTGTTCAGACATGATTACAGAGTGATCTTGTTTTTGTCTTTATCCGTCAAGGGAACAGAGTGGGCTTGTCAGATGTCTGTATCTCCCAGAATTGTTTATGTCTAACGGAACACCCTGGCTTAGCTGGGAGGCCAGGCCGTCAGCACCAAGAGCCAACTAGCTGATCGTGCCAGGACGGCTCCAGGCGGCCAGGGGCTGCTCCTCTCTTTCTCGGCACTTTTCAAACTAAAGGGTACAGATACCAACTCAATTAGTTGTTTTTACTCTACTGCCTGAGTAGTATAAAAATTGAGCTAATTTTTTTAAAAATATGGATTCAACACTAAGTAACGATCGGTTTTTGTGAGATACCAGAAAGCTTTAATACAATATATTCTAACCCTTGAGCTGGGGCAGGTCCCTGAGGATGGGGCCACCGGGGGCTGGCATAGATGGTCAGGCTGTCTGACCCATCGCCACCATAGTGAGGTCACGTGGGCAGAGGTTGGTCAGCTCCACAGATGCGGTCAGCTTGGGCTGCTATAACAAAGTAACATAGACTGGGTACTTTCTAACAAGTAGAACATTCAGTTGTTGAGGGCCGCAGCTCTTTTGGTGTGTGATTAGTTTAAGAGTTTCCTCTCTGATCTTCCTTTCCTGCCTTCCTGTCTCTTCAGTCTTCTGGGAACCCTGCGGGACAGTCACATGAACCACTCAAACCAAACTGTATTTCTCACAGTTTTGGAGGCTCAGAATCTGAGATCAGGGGGCCAGCCTAGTCAGGTTGTGGTGAGAGTATTTTTCCTGGTCTGTGAGGATGGCCATTTTTCTCACTGTATCCTCACATGGTGGAGAGAGAGAGATGTCATGACGCTTTTCTAAGAGCACTCGTTCCATCATGAAGGCCCCACTCTCATGTCCTCATCAAAACCAAATTACAAAGGTCCCATCTCCAAAGGCCATCCTATTCGGGATTTGGGTTTCAATATATGAATTTTTGGGGTACACAGACTTTCAATCCACAGCATGCCCTGTTCAAATCCAGAAGCTCCTGCCCTGGAAAAGAGAACTTCTTAGGGGATCATCAGGGTGGCGGGTAATGGGCCAAATGAACCTGGCACAGGACTTTCTCATGACAAGCTCAGACTGAGGGTCAGGGGACCTAGTTTCTGGACCACGTCTCCTACCAGCCCACCTCATGATCAAGCCCCTTCCCCTCCATGGCCTTCAGTTGCCTCATCTGTAAAATGGCAGGAGAGAGAGAAGGTGGGAGTAAACCAGATCTTTTGTATGATCTTTTCGTTGATTCTGAGGCATAACTGCTCCCAAGGCAGGTGATGAGCTGATTTCAACCTCTTCTGGTAAAGGCAAGAGACCAGGTGCACTGGAGACAAACCAGCAGATCTGGCCAGAGAAACAGCCTCCATGACAAGCAAGTGGGTTTAGATCTTATGGACACTCGCAGGGCTACACCTCCCCACACCGGCATCAGTTCTTAACCCCCAGCAAATGAAGCAAGACAGGAGGGGCACTGAGCCTCCCTGAAAGATTTGACATGGAATTAGCTGATAAACTTCAGGAGGACAGTGAAAAGAAGAAAGGAGGTAGAAGAGAATTCTGGAAATGGCTCCATCTGATGTGGGCTGCTGGGGTCTGTTTCAAAGTTAGGCGGTGGGGGTGATGGTTTCTTTTGCTTGGCATCCCATACTCCCTCCTTCTGCCTGTTGAAAGAAATTCTCCAGATGTGGGCTAACAGTGTTGTCTGTAAGCTGTTTAAATTGGCCAAGGGGGCCATTTGCTTTGGATGGAAGATAGTCATCTTCTTGGTAAAATCTGACCCAGGACATTCAAGACCCCCAAATGCCTGGTGTTCCAGTTGGGCTGGCTGCTGAGGTATCCATTCAATAAACTCCAAAGCCCCACGTCTCATTCCCACACCTGCGGTGCTTCAGGTCACCAAGGACCCATCCTTACACCAGCATCTTTTGTCAATTGTCTCCAGAAGCTGGGTCACGAGAAATGGGACAAAAGGAGGCCCTGGATTCCTTCCCTCCCAGGACCTCATATTCTAAAACCGTCCTGATTTTTACAGAGAAGTAAGGGGAGTTTTAAAGTTAATATGTAAATTTAATGGCATTGAGTGTTGCATTTTAAATTTTCATTTTTTAACAAGTAGAACATTAAGTTGTTGAGAGGCCACAGCTCTTTTGGTGTGTGATTAGTTTATTAAGAGTTTCCTCTCTGATCTTCCTTTCCTGCCTCCCTATCTCTTTGATCTTCTGGAAACGCTGTGGGACAGCCACATGAACCACTCAAGCCAGTAACTGGAGATTTGAGATATGTCAGCTTGAAAGCCTCCAGTGAAAATTTCTGAAGGCCGTCCCTTGGGACAAGTGGATTAATTGTTATTTGGGGAAGAGGAGAGATTTGTGTTTCTCTCTGGGGCCTCACAGGAGCAATGGGTTGAGAGTTTTGTCCCTTAAGCAAATATGAGACCTTGGATGGTCATAGAGACCTTGTATGGGACACTTTGGGTGCCCTGACTCACACCCCTTGCCGTCATCTGACGGACTTCTGATGTGGTTGGGGGGTGGGTCATTTCTGATGGGTCTGACTCACTGCACTTTGGATGGCTTCTTCCTCTTTGACTGGAAGTGTGGGGCAGTTAATAATCCCCAGGGGCAGCCCTTGGTGGCTGGGAGATGAGAGGGCATGGATAAACGCTCCACCTGCCATCTTTAGGGGGGACACGCATGCCTGAGAGACACTCTGTGCTCTCCTTGGGAGATTCGGGGAGCTGTGGCATGCAGTGGCACCCTCCCTAACCAACCCTTCCTTTCCTGCTCACCCCCTCACTCCTGCTCCCTCAGATCTCCTGTCTGAAAGCTCTTGTCTTAGGCTCTACTTACAAGAGAAACCAAAGTAAGACAGACATGCCGGAGAGAATCAGGCTGACAGAGCCCTGGCCATCACTTTGTCATGGCAAGTGGCCGACAGACTTGGATTCAAAGCTCAGCATTACCTTCCTATACATATCTACACAAGCTGCACGTATCTACACAAATTACATTCTCTGGAGCAGGCAGCAATTAGGAAACATCAAAGGTCCTCGTTAAAATGATCAGCAAAAGGGGATGCCTGAGTGGCTCAGTCGGTTAAGCGTCTGCCTTTGGCTCAGGTCATAATGATCCCAGGGTCCTGGGATCAAGTCCCACATCGGGCTCCTTGGTCAGCGGGGAGCCTGCTTCTCCCTCTCCTTCTGCCTGCTGCTCCCCCACCTTGTGTTTGTGCTCTCTCTCCCTGTCAAATAAATAAGTGAAATCTTAAAAAAAAAATTTTTTTTAAACATGTTATTTTTTAAAAAATGATCAGCAAAGGAAGTCATTTTACCCACTGGGATTCATGGGGACCCTCCCATGGAGGACAGCATCTTTTGGCCTTCAAGGGCTAAAGGGACAGAAACTCTAAACTTGAATCCAGTCACCCAGGGCACACAACAGCCCAGACCAGCAACTTCAGCCCCCCACACAGTGTCCCAGCCCCACAGGTGAGGAAGCCCAAGGGCACCTGTGGCTGTCATCTCCTGATCGCTCTTTTCCTCCATTTCCATTCGATTCCCAGTCTTTCATTTATCCTGGTATTCAGCTAATGTTTCCCCTGCTGTTCAATTGCCAAGGGAACCATTTGCTTTAGATGGAAGGCAGTTCATCTTGGTAAAATGTGGTGCGAGAGCTTCATGGTAGAGTCAGATGTGCCAAGCATAGCCCTGGGCATTCAGCCATGTTGGTGCTCACCTCACCCGCACAGATCCCAGCCTCCACAGAACCTCCAGCCCACTACACTGCCTCCGGCCACTCTGGGACGACCCCTTCTCCTCCAGCGCAGCATCACGACCCTCAAGCTGCCCTCCCACCCATGAGTCCAGCCCCCACAGGGAGGCCTGGGCAGACACAGCCAGAGATGTTCAGCAGGATGAGGGACCCACTGCCAGAGTGGTCTGGAAAATAAATAAGAAAAAGCTGGGCCAGGGACTGCGCCCTCAAACATGCCTCAGGACAATAGAAAGGGCCTTTACCAAGAGGAGACAACCTTAAGGAGAACTTCACACTGACTTCTCTCTATTGTATGAATTAGAAGTTGCAAGATTGGGCGGGGGGGGGGGGCTTTTTTCGTCAGGGACTCAAAGGGTGTGGCCCAGAAAACATGAAGAACCACTAGCCCACAGAACCCCAGGGGGAAATCCCAGAATCCTCCCACCCCCTCCCACCTTGCTTAGCCTCCACAGCCCACTCAGAGAATGGAGCAGAGCCTTCTGAACACCCACAGGCCACCACCATGGGTCCATGAATGGGCTCAGGGCAGCAGCAGGCAGGAGACAGGAGAGGCCTGTCTTCAGCCTCATTCCCCTTGGCTCTCCCCTTACCAGGAGTTTCCAGGCTTGAGGAGAAATTGGGGTTTATTTTAGGAAAGAAATGTTTAGAGCACAAGTGGCAGAGAGGAGCCGGATCCTTCACGGGCCTGAGTCTGCTCCTGTCCTTTATGGTTTCTCCAAAGTGCCAGCCCCATGAACTCAGTCGGCTCCACAGCCCCACATCAAGAACTCACATGTTGGTTGGATCACAGCAGCTGAATCAACAGCAGAATCAACAGATGAGAACACTGGGGGGGTCCTGCCTCAAGCCTGGCATGAACAAGCCCCTAGATTGCTTGTCTGGCAGAGCTTCAGACTTTACCCCCCTGACCTTAATGATCTCCCAGCCCACCCGTCCCCAGCCTCCTAAGCCCAGACCCAGAGCTCAGGGCCCCCTCAGCCCCTTCAGAGCCGAGGGGAGAAGCCAGCCACCACAATGTTCTCGCCGGTGATGTAGCCGGCATCCGGAGAGCACAGGAAGGACACAATCCCGGCACAGTCCTCAGGTTTCCCTAACCTGCATAGGACAGAACACATGTCAGGGATCTCAGGCTCTGCTGCTCCGGTGGGAGTGGACTCCAAGGAGGAACAGGGTGGATTCAGCCGGGCCACTTGCACCCTGCAGGGCTCTGGAATCCAGACTTCAGCTAAAGGAATGGCCAGTACACAGGGAGGGGTCGCCCCGTGAGACAGACCAGCCACCCATCCCCAGCTGTACCCAGATTACCAAGGCTCCACACCCCACTTGCCTCTGCAGCTGGTGCTCTTTCTTGAAATTGTTCCAGAAAACCTCATCCTTGTGTAACTGGGCAAAGGGAAGATGTGAGAGAGTCAGGGCTGCTAAAACAAGGAGATGGGCAGGGCCCCAGATGATCCTGTGACAGAGCACTCATGGCAGATTTGCCTTTCTCAGGGGTGATGGGCTGAGTCATGGCTGAATTCAAAGGACAACGAGGACCTCAGCTGTTAGGGACACTAATCTGAGGCTTATCCCTTAGTCACTGGGGAGGTTTCCACTGAGCCGGGCTGGGAAATGGGGGATACGCCCTGGTCCTCACCACTTGGCTGAAGTTGGTCTCGATTACTGCTGGAACTAGGCAGTTCACCCGGATGTCCTTGGGGGCCAGCTCCAATGACAGCGTCCTGGTGAGGCCCGCATGGCCGTCTTACTGACATTATAGGGACCCAGTTTCTGGGAAGGGAATCAAGACAATGATTAGGATATGGGAAAGCAGGGGCGCCTGGGTGGCTCAGTCAGTTAAGCATTTGACTCTTGATTTCTGCTCAGGTCATGGCCGCAGGGTCATGAGATGGAGCCCCACCATTGAGCCCGCATCATCCATGGCTTGGCGCTCAGCAGGGATTCTGCTTGGGAATCTTTCCCTCTCCTTCTTTTTTTTTTTTTTTTGAAGATTTTATTTATTTATTTGACAGAGAGAGACACAGCGAGAGAGGGAACACAAGGGGGAGTGGGAGAGGAAGAAGCAGGCTTCCCGCGGAGCAGGGAGCCCGACATGGGGCTCCATCCCAGGACCCTGGGATCATGACCTGAGCCGAAGGCACACGCTTAACGACTGAGCCACCCAGGCACCCCTTTCCCTCTCAAATAAATAAATCTTTAAAAAAAAAATAAACGGATCTGAGGAAGCAGAGGAAAGTATCAGTTGGATTTCTCAGCTACAGATAATCCCAGCCCTGGCCCAAGCGCAGAGCTCAGACACACTCTCCCCAGCCTGGTCTGAGAGCAGAAGCTGGATCTGAGGCACCCAGCGGCCACAGGGCATCAGCTCAACCTAGGGCAGCGGGAGTGAGGTGGGGGTCTGTCCCAGGCATTGTCCCTGTGGCGTTCTGGGGACCCCTTCCTCTAATCCTACCAGGAGCACCCGAGCAAGCACTCACCACATGTGGTATATAGGCTGCAATGGAGGAGACCAGGACGACCGCCCCTGTCCTGAGAGGAGACAGACACAAGAGGAGACAGGAAACCAATCACTTACCATGGATTGAGGTGCTACAATTATTTTAAAAAGATACAGAAATCAGAATGATACCACCGTAATGACGCTAGTCATGGAATAACGCAATCCTCACGGCAGCAGCACGGCTCCCGTTAGCAGCCCCCTTTCAGAGCTGAGCGAACAGAGGCTCAGCAGGGTTTAGCCGCAGAGCCAGGAGTGGTGGACCTGGGACTCCAACCCCATCTCTCTGACCCTATGCCCACGCTCCAAACCATGACACTCGCTGCCTCTCCTGGGGGAAGCGAGGAGCAGAAAGCCAGCTGCCTGGGGAAGGGGGCAGAGTGGGCTTGGTGAGGAGGCCCCCAGCGCCGACAGTGAATGCGTATCAGTGGGCCACCTCTGAGAAGCAGATGGGACAGGAGGAGACAAGAAATGAGAGTCAGTAACTTCTTCTTCTAACCCACCCGCTCCTGGGCCAGTTCCTAAAGGGGACGCCTGCACGGAGGAGCCTGAGGAGCAGCTATGGCCTGAGGGACGTGGTGGCCTAAGTCCCTGACACGAGAGCCCTGAGGCTAAGTATGGAGTGCAGTCAAATATGCATTATCTGGAACACCAGGCAGGCTCCCTGGAGGCTGAGAAGCAGGGAGGGAGGAGGGGCCTGGGATGGGCTTCTCCCCACAGGGAGGAATGGGGCAGACCCTGTCACACATTGTAAACTGGTGAAAAGGCATTGTCCGGCGGTGAGAGAACCGGAGTAGAGGAGGGTGAGAATGACCTGCCCACGAGGCTAAGGAGCTGATGTCAAGGCCAATGAGAGCATACCTGAGCCCCAGGAACATCACCATCATCCTGCAGTCAGGATTCAGAAGCTGTGGCTGTACAAAGGGTGAGGCAGGACAGAGGGAGTGGGAGGGGGAGACCCCAGCTGGGCCCCTGTGTTCTCCAGACTCCATTCTCGGGTGGCTCCCCACCAGTCCCTACCCCCACCCTGCAACCTACCCCCTGTTCTCCATGTGCGGCAGCAGCTGGCTCAGCAGCAGGGCCGGGGACTTCACATTCACGTTCAGAATGTGAAAATTCTGAAATCAGAGCAGAGGCAGGAGGGAGGGCAGAGAGACATGGTCAGCCCTCAGCCCAGGGCCTGTTACCATAAGACACTTGGAGTCCGATCATTTGTGCAGCAAACCCACATGCCTGCAGGTCTGAGATTCATTTCTCTTCTGATCAGGACAAGAGGAGTTTCCCACTTGCTAATGGTTTAATAGGCAGCCAGGCTAAGTGACAGGTCTGTGAGCAGAGCCCTGAAAACGTGAACTATTCCAGACTGGGGTGAAGGAGGGAAATGTTCAGGCCTTTTCAAGAAAAATGGACCACGTGCTGGTCATGCAGACAGAAGCTCTAAGCAGAGGCCCCTGGAAAAAGACCGAAAGTAAAACAGATGGAGGGGAAAGGAGGTGCTGGGAGGCAAGAAAATTTCTGGAAGAGTTGTCTTTGTCTGTGTTTTGACTTGTTTGTGTCCTTGTCTTGTCCCAATAGAATTTAAGGCATTCTCATGGTACAACAGCATAAAAAAATCAAACAGGTATTATGTGTGAAGAAATGGAGAACAGGAAAAATAAGTGTAGAAAGATAAGAAAAAGCAAGGGGAAAGTTGGTGCCCACAGTTCACAGCATGTGGTAAGGACTGAGCATTATTCTATTATTCATTCACAAAAACGCCAGCTATGAGGGCCTACATGCATGCCTGTTCCTGCAGACATGGCTCTTGAGCTTTCCTACGGCCATCACAAAGAGGGAGACACAACAGAGAACTGCCATCCTGGGAGTGAGCTGCCCACGTTGGTCCTGCCTGCAACTAAAACCTGGATCTGGCCTCAGACATGAGGGTCCCTGACCTGCTGTCTGGGAACTCCGTCTGGTGGGACTGGGGATGGAGGAAAAGTAAGAGAGGAACTGGCAGGAAAAGAGGCAGAGACTGAGCTGGGGGCTAGGACAGAGAGCCCGCTGGGACTAAAGTGGCACCAGGATCCCTCCTGTGGGGCACCATCTTGAGTGAGGTCAGTGTGTCCTCGGTCTCTAGGGAATGAGACTGTACATGTGCAACATCTTCATCCCACACCCAACCATCCTCTTGGATGAGGGCAGGGGAAAGGCTTCGATGGAGAGCTGCTGAGGCCCACATGATGAAAGGTTGCCAGTGTTGGGGATGACCCCCAGGACTGTGAGAAATGGCTCAGATTGTCCAAAGGGGGGCCCGGCATGAGGTCCCCAATAAGAAGGAACTGAGGGTTAGACTAAGGGACTTCCTGGTCATTTTCTGCTCAAAATAGAGCCCCACCATCCCACCAATGTCTGCTCTAAGCTCCATGTGTGTCAGGCTGGGGGATGGGCTCCGACAAGGCCCCTCCTAGACTCAGCAGCCAAACATGAACCAAGGAAAAGGTGAGTCCCTCCCTCGCTTAAGAGGACTGCCCTATTAGAAAAGCAGGTAGAGTAGCTCTGGGTGCCACAAAGTCCTGAGTAGAGATCGTGGCCTGAGGAGGTTGGATGCTGGGGAGTCCTCAGGCAGGAGGAGGATGGAGGAAAAGTGGTGGAAGAGGAGATGGGAGATTTCCCAACCAGCTGGAGAAATGGGGGTCTACCTGGAGAGGTGCTTAAACTGGCCCAGTGCTAATGTGAGCAAGAAGGAACTAACTCCCAGGAGACCTCCTGAAAACTGCATTCAGAGAAAGCGGAGCATCAGGTAAATTTCAGACTTGTGAGGTGGTGGCAGATGTGATCGGGGACGACTCCTACCCAGTAGTGCAGACTGCTTGTGGACCAGTAAGACCTCAGAGAATAGGGTGGCCATGGAGAAAGTAAGGCCGGGCTGTGGGGGAGTGCGCTCAGCTTCGGGAGGGGAAGATTTCAAACGTGTTCCAAGTAAAAGAGTCATGATCCCATGAACTAAGACACTAAAAGGGAAAATGACTCAGGAGGGTTAGGGCACTGTCAGCAATGAAATCCCAGCTACCTAATCACAAATGATCTTTCAGAGGCATTAAGGAAGCCAAGGAGCTTGGGGAGGCTGCTAGCAGCGGCTGCAGGGAGCTCAGATTTCAGGTCATCTCTGAGGATGGAGGGAAGGGCATCCAGCCAGGCAGATACACAGGAGGCGGCGGCCTGAGAACACAGTCTACACGGCGCAGAGGCCTGGGGAAGGCAGAAGGAAATGCTCTGGCCAGTGCTTGGGGTGGAGGGGGAGGCTATCGACAGCAGGAAGATGATTTCACTGCAGTCCATCTTGTCTGTCAGAGGGACTCAGGAACCAAACACAGGAGTCATAGAATAGAAAACACAGAATAACATAAGATCATAACATAATATAAATCATAGAAAATATAAAATAAATATTAAAAATATAAATAAATAATATAAATATAAAAATAAATATATAAAATAAATAAAAACATAACATAAATCCTAGAATAACAAAGCCCAAGGTGGACCTCAAGACATTTTACAAGGTCCCTTCAGGACCCCGTGGACCAGGTGGCAGGATCATTAAGCCGAATGCAGTGGGTTGGAATGTCATGGAAAGCTGATGGCTGGGTCCAGGCCTGACAGGTGTATCAGGTTCCTCTGAGGGACAGTGAGGAACCCTCCTCTTGGAAGCATAAAGAATCTCAGCAGCAGGTACGTGTCCCCAAAGAGGAGCAACATCACCAAAGGATGTAAAATATGTCTACTGTTGACAAAGAGCAGAACCCTCACTATTCTTGACTCTCACCAAGAGCAGAGACCTACTCCCACAGCTGTATCCCCAGAGCCTGGAACAGTGCCTGGCACATAGCAAACCCTCAATAAATATTTGCTGAATGAATAAATGCAAAAGGGACAGGAAGAGAAAAGAAAGCAGAAAGAATGTAGGAACCCGCTTTGAAGCACACAAATTGGAAAGTAGCATCACGGCACATTCCAGGGGAGGAGTGGTCAGTGCCTGTTTTTACAGTCGCTTTGGGTGGGGGGAGTCGAGTCTCAATGGGAGAACACCTTAGACCCCTCAGCCAGCTCCCCTCAGTGGCCTCTCATCTTGTCCCATACCTCCTCACTGGCCTTCAGGGTGCTTCCCACCAGGGGGTTGACACCTGCATTGCACACCAGAAAGTCCAGGCCCCCATAGTGCTCCAGGACCTGGGTGGAAGGGTGACACGCAGGGCCGTAAGTGTGGAGATGGCCTGAGGAGGCCTCGCCCTCCCAGAGCTGCTGTCAGGTGCACAGCGCATTAAGGCAGAGCTTGCAAATCAGCTCCTGTCTCAACCAGGAATGGTCACACGGCTGGTGTGAGAACCAAACTCCGGTGAAGGCAGGAGCGCGGGACAGGCCCAAGGACAGGCTTTGCCACGCTGAGGGCCTCAGGGGAGGAGGGTCTGTCTCCTCTAGGAATTCGTCCGTGGACTTGGATGGGGAATCCCTCTAGATTCCTCCTCAACCACAGTTCTCCAGGGTGTAGGATGGAAGCGAGGGTCCTCTCATGAACAAGCCACTTTCCAGAAAGCCAGTGTGGACAATGACGTCTGCCCAGGTAGACCTTGAGCAATCCTGGTTTCGAGACGTGTTCTAGGGCCTCCCAGCCCCTATCCCGGTCCCGGCCCCACCCAGGGCTGAGCAGCATGGGAAAGGCCCTACGCATTCTCCTCCCTGCGCCCTTCCACCCCTGTGGCCCCTCACCGTGGTCACCAGCCGCTTCCGGTCCTCGGCCTTCCCCACGTGGCACACGGTGCCCGCCACGCTCAGCCCCTCCCCCTGCAGCGCGGCCACTGCCCGGTCCACGTTCTGCTGCTTCCGGCTGCTGATGACCACGTGGGCCCCGTCCTGGGCCAGGCGCTGCGCCATGGCGAAGCCAATCCTGCAGCAGAGATGGAGGGAACAAGACAGCCTCAGCCCTCTGCCACCACTGTCCCTCGACCCAGCCCTGGAAATCAACAAGGCTGTGTCTTGATCTAGGAGCCCCAGGTCTCTGTGGAAGCAAGAGTCCTGGGGAGGGGTCAAGACCCATAGGGCAATCAGGGCACTTACCCCTCAGTGGACCCGATGACCACCGCTTCCGGATTGGCCAGGACACACTTTTGGTCTATCCCAGTGCTGCTCAGGTGCAAAGAGAGCCCAGCACGGGAATGCAACAGGTGCCTGTGGGCCGAGGTCACTGCCTGGAATATGCCTGCCAGTGCCTTTTTCTGCTTCCTGCTGAACTTGGCCCTGGAGGAAAAAATCAACTTCACCCATGACGGATGCCGTAGTAACGATGGTAATCTACCTCTGCTCCTGCAGACAGACAAGGCCAGCAGCCGAGAGCCAGAGCGAGTAGAGCTGGTCAGGGTGAATTTTAAACACCTGAGCCTCGGGTCAGGAAAACTCTCTATGAAAAGTCTCTATTTATGGAAGAGGCAAATTGGAATGTGAGACCCACCATTCAGTAGACAGGATGAGTTTCGCATTCATCCCCTGAGCAAGCACTGAGCGCTTGCAACATGTCAGAGAGCAGACCCAGGTTCTGAATGCCTGCATGCTGTCCTTGCCAGGCTGTGCTGAAGTGAAGCTCACTGAGTGGAGGCTGGGAGGAGCCTGAGCCAGGGTGCAGACCCAGGCCCCCCAGACACCCTCTGGAAGGAAAGGGGTAGGCTGCTGTAGGTGTGCGCAGGTGTGGAGGCAGGGTGAGCACCCTGCGTGGGAGACTCAGATATGCAGACACTTTCCGATGAACTGGAAACACATCCGAGATGCTTGTGTAGGGGACCCTCTTTCATCTAGACCCCAAATTTCCCAGCTCCACATCACCGTGAGCCCAGAGGCTTCTGCCTCCCGCAGTGGGAGTTTCCCTGCAGGGTCCTGAATCTAGGAGTCTGATCTGTTTCCTGCAGAGGCAGGTGGGAAGGAATGGTTGCAGCAAGGGCACTCAGGGACTTGGGATGTACTTTTCATGCAGGATAGTGCCGCGAAGCTGAAGAGATGCAGGCTCTGGTAGCTCTGGACTGAGGGGCCAGCAGACATGCATTTTCCAGAGGCTCTGGTGGGGACTGACTGTCCACAGACCCCCATCAGTTCCAGACCTGCTTTGGCCACTCCAACGCCAAGGGACTCCTCGTTACTAAGCAACCCTTGTCATACCTACTGCATCTCCCTTGTTCCTTAGCAACCAACCCTTATGTAACCCAGTTCGCTTGAATTAGGGGTCGGTATCTATAATGATCAGCGAATGGGTGCTGCTCAGGAATTATGGGTGGCTCAGTTGGTTAGGCGACTGCCTTCCGCTCAGGTCATGATCCTGGAGTCCCGGGATCGAGTCCCGC